GTAGAAATGACAAAAAAAGACAAAAAAAATTGCTAAAAATATGTGGAAGAAAAACAAACAAACCAAAAAAAAAAAACACCTGCTTGAGTACTCCTTTATTATCAGTCTACACCTCCAAACCTTGGGGCCTCTTTCTAGTGGGACACCTCCAGGCATGCAGAACAGATGCCTGAGCCACCTTAGCTGCTTCTCTTGACGTGGAGGAGCAGCAGCTCTACTCCGAGCTCCTCCCGTGTGACTGAGCTCCTCACCCTATCTCTAAGGGAGCACCCAGCCACCCTGCGGAGGAAACCCATTTCGAGCGCTTGTATCCGCGATCTTCTTCTTTCGGTCATTCGGTAAATCAAGAGCTTTGCATTTCGGCTCAGCTCCCTCTTCACCACAACGGTCCGATACAGCGACCACATCACTGCTGATGCTGCACCAAGCCGCCTGCCAATCTCACGCTCCATATTCCCCTCACTAGTGAACAAGACCCCGAGATACTTGAAGGAGGCCCCGAGGAAGAGCCAGGACACGCTGGAGGGACTATGTCTCTGGGCTGGCCTGGGAACAACTTGGGGTCCCCCTGGAGGAGCTGGAAGATGTGTCTGTGGTGAAGCAAGTTTGGGAGTCCCTGCTTAGACTGCTGCCCCCGAGACCCGGCCCCGGATAAGTGGAAGAAAATAGATGGATGGACCTCCAAAGCTCAAAATGCTCTATTCCACCTTGTGATATCTTGAAGTGGTAGTAATAGCTCCTTTTACCTTTAGTCCAGTAATGACAGTGGAAAACAGTGGAACATAGTCTCAGCCTAACTATGCAAGATTTTTAAACTAGTTTGAATGAAACAAACTACATCTCCAGGTATGTTTTTATTGAGAAAACAACATTCTAACATAGATCAAAAATCTGCGTAATACAGGCCCTTTAAACACTTAAACCTCTGAGACATCTGCTACAATGAAAAGATATAGTTGTAGCTCTAGTGCTGCCTGAGTACACTCTAAATGTGACTTTATTTAACCTCTTAGAGCAGTTAGCATCAGTAGCTATTAACGTACAGCTTTGTCTTTGATGGACGCTCGTGCAAACCAAACAGGACATAGTGAACAAAGTCAGAGCAGCCATTACGACGCTTGTGTTGTGCACAAATTGGCCCGCGAGCTCAGTTTTACACAGAGTGACCTTGGTTCCTCTAAAAGTGTGTTTGAAGTACGTTCGATGAGGAGACAGTAAGGAGAAGGCTTTTGTTCGAGCTTTTGTTTTCAAGAGAATAGAGGGGAGGCCAATTACCAATACTTGCACCCTAATTATTTGACATTGAATTCATTGTGCTCCACTGATTGTGTGCAGCATACACTAAACAGACTTCCCCTGCCTGGGCATTGCAAGGGACAAGAGGGTTTTCTACAACAGGGTGCAGTGTATTCCAAATAGATTGTGTGTAACAGGAATACAGCATTACGGCCCACCCCTTTCCAAACTTAAACAAAACACTTGGCACACTTTATAATAACTACTTCTTAATTAGTCATAATCATAAAACGCATTTCATTATGAACAAATCATTTTTAAAGGATGACTCAGGCATAATAACAACTGATTACCATATTTTTCGGACTGTAAGTCTCACCAGCCAAAAGTGCATAATGAAGAAGAAAAAAAAATATATATGTACGTCGCACTATACTGTAAGTCGCACTTTTTTGGGGGAAATTAATTTTGTAAAATCAGAGACCAGGAACTGACATTTCATCTTGAAAGTCAAGTTCTAGTAATAATAATAGAAGAGAGAACAACAGACTGTTAACATCACATATGAACAGTTCTTCAGATAAACTATAACATAAACAACAGAACAGAACAAGTTTAACAAACTCTCCATCTCACTCCAAATCACTAAATCCATTCAATTCTTCATTCTCGGTGTCACTTCTGAGCAACTTGGTGACCTCCAGAGGTAAACAGAGCGCCGCTTCCTCTTCTGTGTAGCTGTTGTCAGATTTAACATCAGTTCCTGTTAGAATTATTCTGGCCTTTCTGAATCCCGACAGGATGGTTTCGGTGTCACTGAAGTCCAGGCTTTGTCCATCCATCCAGTGACTTCAGGAAAGTTTCATGGTGCACTCTCTCGGTGTCACAAGTTTCTCACTCACTCCAAACTTTCTTTCTGCTGCTCGATTACCGTTTTCGGCTGAATATTTCGCTACATGCAGCTTGTAATCTGCAAAATCTGATTTTCTTTTTGGGGGCATTTGTGTTCAGTCTTCTCTGTCATCTTTAAAAGTTTGTTTAAATGTTATATTTTCAGTGGTTCAGAAGTAATGCTGTGATCAACTGACATGATACAAACAGGACAGAGGCTCTTTCTGCAGGAGACATGTGCAGTAGAGTGAAGTGCCAGTGGTACAGGAGTAAAAGGAGCAGCAAATACTCACACACAAGACTAGAGCCTCTCACAGCTTCAGTGTGAACATTTTAATATATAAGTTGCACCGGAGTATAAGTGGTAGGACCACCTGAACCATGAAAAAAATAATGTAGATAGCCTAACCCTACCCCCTTAAATACTGTAAGTATTTACTAAGCCTGAATCTTTCCCAACAAACTATTTGCTCATTTGAATTGAAGTCTTTTATTCATGCTTTATTAAGGCTGTAAATAGTGTAGATCTTATTTACATATTTTATGTTGTATCAGACCTGCTGCTGTATAAAATGTTTCTTATATCTCACAATCACACTGTAAACCTGAACATCCAAAGTAATTAAATAGATTAAGTTGTGTATAGTCAGTTTTAGAAATAGTCCTACTAACTTAATTATGTCAAGTTGCTGTAACATGTTCTTCTTTTTGAGTCATTTAACAAGTTGTGGGTATAAGTGAGCGTAACTTAACATTGATGAGGCTAGTATCTTAGTAGATTGAAGTAATTAAATACTGACAATGATAAAGTCCTGTTATTTTTTCTGTTGTTTCAAATAGTGATGATTTAAAAATAAACTTAATTTATATGCTACAATACAATACTATTTCAAAGCGCTTCATCAAATAAGTGAACTTATTCCAGCGGTTTGAAAACTCCTGATTTTAAGTCATAATTAATGAAAATAATTGAGTTGCCATAACAGAAAACTAAGAGTCATATTAACTGCAAATATTTGAGTTTGCAGTGAAACACAAAGGACTTATCTATGACCACGCTTCTAAATTACAAAATGATATTTATCAGAAAGAAACATTCACTTAAATTGTCATTTCTCACCACAAGAGACACATCTATGACTAGGAATGGGTATCGTTAAGAAGTTGCCTGATACGATACATACCTCAATACGTAGGCCGTGATACGATACATATCTCGATACAGTGAGCTTCAATTTGATACAGTTTAATAAAAAATAAATATTAAAAATAAATCATCATTGTGATAATAAAAGTCTTTGTTAAACCACTTCTTGTGCAAAGTAAATATGAAACACAAACTTTTTAATCCTCAAAACAGAGAAAATGTCAAATATGTCGCAGAAACGTTTTTCCTTTTCTTCTTTCCTTTCTAAACAAGCAACAAAACTGTATTGCTGTAAGAAAATAATTTAGTAAAATATACCAAAAAATACTCGATACCGCAGTCCCCGATACTGACACTGTATCATCACATTAAATGATACGATATATCCATATTTAGATATTTTTGCATGCCCGGGAACACTTTACAATTAATAAAATCTGATTTGTTTATAGTGCACATTAAATATAAAAAATAAAATGTCTCTAATCTAATACTAATCTTATATAAAATAAAATAAAATATCTGAGGTGGGTGGCGCATTCTTATTATTTATTTTACAGAAAAGTGCCTTGAGAATGATCACCAACAGTCATTATAGAGTAATCCAACCCATTATTTGTTCAAATTAAAGTGCTGAAAATGCATAATATTTTTGACTTAAGTATCCTCAAAATTATGTATAAGTGCAGAGTGTTACCTGTAAATATTCAAAGACTGTTTGAGATGAGAACAAACCACTACAGTTTAAAAGCAACCTACATGTTCAAAAAACTCAGATTCAGAACCAAGGTTATGGAGTGAAGCGTCGCTGTGAAGGCAGTTCATTTAAGAAATAGTCTTGACAAAGAAATGAAAGAATCAAGTACAATGATGACATAAAAGCATAAAATCCACTGCAATGTGTATGTATGAAAAAGGAAAATAAGTCGTTGTGCACAATAGTGAAGATTTCTGTTTGCAATTGATGTGATTGATTGTGCCTGAACTGAAATGTACTGATTTAAAATGTTTTAAAGTGACTATCAGTGTTGATGTTTAGTCTGTAAAAGGCAAAACAGGGCAGATAACATGAGATGACTTTTCTTTCTGCTCCTTTCCATAAATTTCTTCTATGTTTGATGTTAGGACACTGTTAATGTCTTTTTATATGTAATGAATGAAATAAATAAACAAATAATCTATTATCATTCTATTAGAGCATTACAAACTGTGCCTGCTTATTACTATAGATCCCACAATTACCACAAACAATTTTGACTATTTTTGCGTTTTCTTCTAATATGACAGTAGTGTAAAAAGTTATTGATTATTTACCTGACGTGTTTGGGGGGTGGGACTTCTGCCTTCTGTTGTTCCCAGGCACGGCACGGTCGGTCTGATTGATCTGCCAGATCTGTCAGGCTGACCATGCCTGGGTGCTCCCTGGAGAAAATTCAGACCCATTTGTGAGCCAGGCAATAGCTTTTTACACTATTTGTCTTATTAGAAGAAAACACAATATTATAGACTGTTTTTATCAGACAGACAGTCACCATTGTCTGTGCTGTTGTGTGTGGGATTGAGCGCATTATCTCTGAAATGGAAAAACAAAACTTTAAAAATCAAACATTGTCAGTTTTCATTTCACTTTATATTTTTATTGTTTTCAGATTTATTTTTAGACATTTTTTCCCTGTTATTGCCAGTCCACTAAACAGCCTGTGTGTGTGTGTGTGTCCATTTCCAGGCATGCGTATCCTGGTCACCCTCCTTCTCGACACTCTCCCCATGCTGGGCAACGTGCTGGCGCTCTGCTTCTTCGTCTTCTTCATCTTTGGCATCGTCGGCGTGCAGCTGTGGGCAGGCCTGTTGAGAAACCGCTGCTTCATGGGCGATGACGTCAAGATGTGAGTTTCTATAGTAACAGGGGAGAGTCACAGCTGCCGGTCTGATGTCCCCATCCGTGGCACAAGTTACTTCCAAACTGATTAGCCTCGTTCATCCATGTATTATTGCTAAGAGCAGATCGATATACCCAATACTCTAATCGTGTTAGTTTTCTAATCAGCCCTGGGTACTATAGCCATAAGCTTCTTTACACAGCCTTTTCATCTCAGGGTATTTCTGCCCTCACCCCCACAACACTCAACTTAAAAGCTCCCTCCCTGGGTATGAGCCAAGGTAAGTCTCCCTGTCAGAATGACTATCCTCTGGCTCTACAAGTGAATATTTTAAGTTGCGTGATCAAAGGCTGAACCCATTTGAAAAGTTAAGATTACTTATACGAAACGGTCTATTGGTTTTTAGGCAATCTTCTGAAATATTACATTGTGTATGTTCTGTGAAGTTTATCAAGTATCAGATTTTCCTATTAAAGCCTTTTGTTTCAACTCACCAAAAATATAAAGTCGCCATGAAATCCCAGCAAGCACATGAACACAATTAAAGAGAACGGTCCGTGTACCATTTGTTGTTTTGAATTTCAATTAAGAACGAAAAGCAATAAAATAGGAAAACTGTGTTGGTTCATATTCCGTTTTAATGTCAAACAAATAAACAGATTTTGACCTCAATTTCCAATATTTAATTTAAAGTTTATTTCAAATAACAAGTCATCGTGCCTATTTCAGTCTGGAAATTTTATTCTCTCTGGTTTATGTGCCCTTGAAGTTGTGCTGCGAGAAGGACTTACCTGAAAAATCGTTGCAATATTGTGGACAAACATGTTCTCTTCTTTTATAGCACCGCCTTTACTTTTGTGTCTTAGAAAGTTATTGTTGAACTCCATTACGAGAAACAAGAAGCGGCGATAAACCGCTCAGTTGACACCAAATAACTATAATAAAAATAGTTTTTATTATAGATCCATGGTTGACACTGAATTCACGTGCGGGGGTAAATAAACCAGAGAGAATAAAATATCAAAATTGAAATAGGCACCGATTTCTGATTGCTGTTATTCGAAATAAATTTTAAATTAAACGTTACAAATAGAGGTCGAAATCTGTTTTTTGTTTGACACTAAAACAGAATAACAAACTGTTTTCCCGTTTTATTGTTTTTCGTTCTTAATTGAAATTCAAAAGAACGAATGGTACACAGACTGAGAACTTCTACAAATCAAGTCCTTGGATGTGTTCTGTAGGGGTCAACATGTTCTATTTTTGATATTTTTATGACAGTATGTTTTTTTGCTTTGCTTTTCATTCTGTTTATGTAACGTTTCAACCTTTAGCCTGGTGTCCTCTGCACAATTTTGACTCTCTGCAGTGAAGGAGTTCGGATCATGAGGAAAATCTTGAGACATGATTTAAAAAGATTCAATTTGGAACCGCCATACGATCACGAAGATGAGCTGCAATTAGCAAGAGGCTGTACAAAAAATTTACCACCCTTTTTTTTTGGCAGATGCTATTTGCACGCTGGGTGTAAATAACGAACACTGTTATTCACACATAGGGCAAATAGCCATTGTTGTTATTTACACCCGGGTGTATTTATCGTGGCACATAGAATGCACCTGGGTGTTCCTAGACAAAAATGCTATTTACACCCTGGTTATTTATTTAAAAAAAAAAAAATATATATATATATATATATATATATATATATATAAAAATCACTGTCAGTACAAACATAAAGGCGCCAGCCCAGTGAAAATCTGTAATATTTGATGTTTTTTTACTCAAAATGATGTGGAATCATCGATCAATAGCAGTCTGCGCCTAATAGTTTAGTCCCGGTTAAATCCTTTTTTAGATCCTGGTTTAGACTTGGTTTTAGTCCTGATTTTAATCCTGTTTTTTATTGGCGGGTATTTTATGCAAATTAGCCTTCCCATATGGAAATATATACATATACACCATATATACATATACATACACCATTTTAACATGTTTTATCTGAATCCTAAAAGATTTGTATATGACAGTGAAAACAGTTGCAAGATCTTTGGTAAATATGTGCTGCACATTATATGACACATTATATGACACTAATCCCACATACAATATCCTCACAAGAGTTGGACAAAGGTCATTTTTACAAATCTCAGGTCAAATATCAGGTCATATCACTTGGGAGGAGCAGCAGGTTAGCTTAATGGGTAAGTCACTGGGCTTTTACATGAGTAACCTGGGTTCAAATCCCCAGTCTAACAGTTTTTTTTTACTGCAACATATAATTAAAGAACACAAACATTACATGGAACATACAAAGAAAATGTAGTTGATCATGCACATTACCTGTAAATGTCATGCAAAATGTTCACTTTATCTTTACTAGTTTTTCATAATATAGTTGTATGAGAAAAATGCAAAAGGGGGCGACTTTCAGGAGTAAACCACACATGACACATATTAACCTTATATAAAGATTTACTACAAAGACAGTGGTCAATTCTTATCTTTTTTTCCAGTTTTTTTCCATATGGGCACGTGGCGTTAGATTTGGTTTTGTGCACAATGTTGCATTAAATACATTCTAATCTCAAATGGCTGATGACTTGCTATAGTAGTTCTGGTGCTTACGAGGGCCAAATGCTTACATTTGAACCACTTTTAATGTTCCCATTCTCTTCCTCAAGGCTGTACTTGAACTGCTGAACAGACAGATCAACTAGCAGAACCGCTAGCTATACATCACACAAGCTCAATAAACTGTCCATGATGCTGTGATGCTTTCAGCTTTATTACCCAAACAGTAATGGTCGGACAGGCATTTCAAATATATTTTGTAGCAACACTGACTTACCTTTTACCTTACCCTACCTTCGTTTTGAATTTTATTTCTTTGGATTTTCTAATCCAGCTTCCCGCACTTTTCACAGGAAACAATGTACCGTATTTTCCAGGCTATTAGGCTCGCTCTTAAGCCTCTCACCCCATCAAAAAACACTGCGCACCCCGCAATCCAGAGCGCCCTATACACAAATCCACTCGGGTGTCCCAGCACAACTTCAGTAAACTACAAAGCCGCACCACTCACAGAACACACAAACACACACGGAGCAGACAGCGACCTGCACAGGGAAACACACCCACAGACACACTCATCACTCCACGCTGACGAGGAACGGAACGGAGGAACGAACCAAAAAAGCGAGTGCAATGTGCCACTTCTAGACACAACTGAACAACTGAGTCACTGTGAACACGCCGACAATCCGTTGGTCCCAGACAGCACCCTCCCTACACGCCACAACTGAACAAAGCCCAGAGTCACCGTGAATGCCACAAACAAACAAAACCACTCACCCATCACACTGTTGTGTTTCCTTTAAAGTCCAGTGCAGTTTATTTGTGAAAAACGTTTGAAAATAGACCATTTAATGACAGTGCGTCTTATAATCCAGAGCACCTAATAGTGCGGAATATACTGTAAGCAGACACGTCACCATTCCCTTTTTTCTTGAGATGGGTGTAAATAGAAGAATCGTGTCCATTGAACTATTATCACCCAGGGTGCAAATAGACACTCTGTTTTTTTTACAATAATAAAATCTTGAATTGTCCCACAATGTCTAAATTGAAGTGTTGCAACACCAAAGTTTGCAAGCAGCTGTAGAACAATAATGCTAAACAAAACTAAAAAATATCAAATATCAAATCAAATGATCTAAAGCAGAACTTTGAATATAACAAAACCATATTCAGTGTAGAGTAAAAACTAAAAAATAATAGTTTTGCGCCCCCTTAAAGTCACACTCCAGTAAAATAACAATATTCCAGCCCTGCAGCCAGAGACACGTTCTGGCTGGGGTAATTAGATTGACTCTACAGCGACTTGCTCTGTGAAATCTCTCCCTGGCTTACCATTTTGCTGTGCTATTTTCTTCTCCAAAAATGTGATGGACATAAATGGGATATTAGAGGGCCATTATATCGCACAAACGCCTGAGAAAGCACAGCATATGCCATACGCGTTGCACCACCTGCTTCAAAGACAACACCAAATATGACCAGGCTTCATTCGTTTTGATATTTCACGATCGACTCTGAATTTCTCTGTTACCGGATTTGCCGCCCACGTGGGCCGGGCTGTCATGTCCCATCACCGTTTGACTGACGCCCTCCTCCTCTGTACACGCTCACACACGCGCCTACATAATATCTGGTAACACAATGTTCACCTACTGGCCTCACATCTTCTCTGGCCCACCTCTAACTTAATAATCACTGACAGGGGGGTGGTGGGTGGAGGCGCAGATACGAAGAAGAAACGCTGCAGGTCTTTTCGAGAGAGACTGTTGGCATACATGGAGGTGCTGTACCTGACTGGAGAATGGCTGCACAGTTTAGGGAAAAAATACTGGGTGTCCCAAAAAACATACATAATTTTAAAAGCAATTATCTTGAAAACTACTAAATCTAGCTCAATGTATATGAACAGTGTAGGTGTTGAACATCACAAGTTTATTATGGGACTTTGCCTGTTTTTTGCATTGAAGGCTGCACAGTCTTGGGTGATTGTGTGCTAGCAGATTCCAAGATGCAAAATGACTTTTTGGGGGTGAACAGCTAGCCTGATTCATCAGCCGCTTTCACTTCGTGGAAACTGTCTGACCTCACAACTTTAAAATTTGTTCGCTCGACAGTAGAACCAATCTCTGCTATTTGGTCGTGACATATGTAATGTGGCACTAATGGGGCTAACTGGTATATTAAGCTTTTCTCAAATCCTGTAGGAAGAAGGACAATAACGTCTTGATGATGTTCACTGAACATTCTCGTTGTTCTGGCTTTAAATCCTTGATCTCGAGAATCGTAGACAACACAGAATGTATGACTCTGTGCTGATTGGCTGGTACCCGGACTCACACTTGCAGGGTTTTTGTGAACTGTCTAGTGTAGGGGTGTCAAACATATGGCCTGGTGACCGGATCCGGCCCTCCAAGACCTTTAATCTGGCCCTTGGCTGATTTTCTACCAACATATTTTAATTATATTTTAAAACCTGAAGACAGAATTTGCAATTTTTTGTACACCATTCAGTCAAAACCTCTGATTTGCCCGCAGACATGCAGACAGAAATAATAGATTTACAGTTACTACCTTTGTGAGCAGGTTTTCTCAGTAGTGAACATTAATAAAACTAGAAAAGCAGTCAGAGAGCGCAGACCTCCGCCAAGGACTACCCCCATTTTTTATATAAATTGCGATAAAATCAGTCTTCTGGATCAGATCCGGATCAGCCTTTGGAATATGAAAGAGGATCCCATTGTCCATCCCTGAGTCAAATTTCATGGGGTTTGGTCAATAATTAACCCAGATATTGAGAAACAAAATTTTTGGCCCCATTTACCACAATGTTAACTAAAATTTCAAAGTGATCCAGAATCCAGGATTTCTTCCGGATCACCCCCAAAATGAAATCAGTTCTTCCTTTTCACATTTCCAACAAATCCTGAAAATTTCATCAAAATCGGTCCATAACTTTTTGAGTTATGTTGCTAACAGACAAACAAACAAACAAACAAACAAACAGACAAACGCCGGCAAAAACATAACCTCCTTGGCAGAGGTAACAAAGCTGCTCTCAATGCTAAACACACAAGCACCTGAATGACATTCTGAACATAGCAGGACATGGTGCTTGATGTTGATGCACTTGTGCAGGCTAAAAGATGCCAAGTTTCAGGAGCAAAAAGAAAGCATGACTAAATTCTATGAAATGCTCACAAGTTAATATTAAAACATTGTGTTGAAATTGCATTTTTCTTAAAGTTTCAGGTTGTTCATGATATTGTAATATTTTGTAAAAGAAAGAGTTCATCAATTAAAAAAGATTTCTGTAATAGAATTGCGTTACTCTTTACAAATATTTGAACTTATTGTTTTTTTGGGGGTTTATATGCCATGAGTTTTTTGATCCGGCCCCTTTGGGATCAAAGTAGGTTGGATACGGCCCCCGGGCCAAAATGAGATTGACACCCCTGGTCTAGTGTATTCTGATTCCTAAAATTGAGTGGAGGCACTAGGTGGCGCCAGCCTGGCTAGTGAACAGCATGGCTCAGCCTGAAAACAGAGCAAAAATAAAACATTAAATATAAAATCTTGATTTGTTTCGATATATTCTGTGAAAATTTGAGGTTATTTCATCATGAATTGCCAATATTATTGGCCCCGTGAATTGACTCTCTATAACGGCGATTTCTTCACATGTTATATGCGATATACATTCAAAAAGTCAGATTCTGTTCAACGTGCACATTGCAAATAACTCAAGAAGCATTAAGATTTGAGAGAAGACTGAAATCTGAACTGTTTACTAATACAAGACTCCCATGAGTTTCAGAACATGTTTGTAGAATTCTCCAGGCACACAACAAAATGTTTCTATAAAAGGACAGGGTATTTTGTTCTCTGCAGCTAAGTAACTGCAGCTTTTGAGATTTGATATAAATGTGCCTCAAATTCCACTTGATATGGTTGTGATTTATTTTGCAGCCCTATTATAATGCCACTATAAAAACCTAAGTAAGAATTCAAGATGTCAGTCCTCCTCGAACTAATCATATTATGACTAGACTAATGTATTGGTGGTTTGATTCTTTAAATCAGCCAAAAGCTCTGCAGTGCTTATTAGCCATCATTATCTAAATGAAAAGAATGTATAATTTCTAACTCTGACTGAGCTAAAGTCAAAATGGTGGCATGTTCTATAGTTGTAATGCTAATACAGGGTGTCCCAAAGATTCTGACATAATTTTAAAAGCAGTTATCTTGAAAACTACTAATGTTGGTCTACCAGATCTACCTGCATAAGTGGACTTCCTCTTTACATTTTTGGTACCAAGTCCAAATTTGTTGACAAGTTTGTGAAGTTTTTTCCAAATTTTGCATTGAAGTCACACTGTACAGTCTTGGGTGAGTGTGTGTGAGCAGATTCCAACATGCAAAATGACTTCTCTTTGGTAGTGAACAGCATCGCTCAACCTGAAAACTGAACAAAAATAAAACATTAAATATAAAATCTTGATCTGTTTCTATACATTCTGTGAAAAATTTAGATTATTTCAACAAGAATTGCCAAAATGATTGGCCTGCAAAATGATGTCAATTTTTTTGGGACACCCTGTACACTCAGTTCTTTAAATACAATTTTTTTTATCTTTAACTTTTCTAAAACTTATTCTGTACCTCTGTTTGTGGGAGAACTTGGAAAAAACTGGTATAATAGTGCATTCAATATTAGGTTATACTTTCTGAATACAATTATACCGACCTGTTCATTAGACCAATGTTTTGAAGGATATATTTTGTGGAGCGCAGATTTCTCTTTTCCCTCACCGCTGACTCTCCCTCCCTTATCTGAGTGACTGGCCATAATCCACACCTGCTATAAAAATAGATCCTTTTATTCCCTGGCCGAGGACGAATGGCTATAGCTGTATCACGAACAGCGCTCTACAATGTCACCGGGTCACTGCAGACTATATGTTTTTACCAGACCAGTGCGAGATGAAATTTTTGGTTAGTAATCTATTTTTTTCTCTGCATGACAAACAAGCAAATGACCTTTTCTAATAAGGAGTGAGGGAGCAGCGGTCTGGTGTGACCCCTCGCTCTACAAAGATGATTGATTGCTTATCTCTGCGGCCCTCCCTCGTCGCCCCCTCCCTGCAGACTTCATCAGCATTTCTCTCTTTCATCTTTAGTGCTCTTTTCTCATTTCCTGCTCCACCACCTGTGTAGTTTATGTTTCATTTGTGCCTTTGTGGAGAACTGACATGCAGCTCATGCAAACACAATAATTATCACTGATAGTCCTCTACTGTTCTTCTAAGTCTAAGTAGTTGAGTAGTCTGAATAGTGCCACAATGTTCAAACACTGTTTGTCCAAATCGACATCAGAGAACAAGAAGTCTTTTATGTAGTAATGGGCCCAGCTGAAGGAAAGCGGATTATGTAATTTTGGGCACATATGAAAACAAATTAGCTAAAACTCATTACTTTAATTCCACCGTATCACAAAATGTGCATGTTTTAACATAATGGGAGAATTCAGATGTCTCTGTACTCGCCAAGTTCCATGGATGCAGTATGGTGGCACAATAAAACACAATTAAAGGGGCATAGCCAAAATATTGAGTCAAAAATAAAAACACTAACCTCAGCAGATGAGAGATAAATCAGGTCAATAGATCAATTATAATTTTAAAACAAAAATCCAACACTGCTCTTGCCACTCAAGAATCAGTTGAAGTAGTAACTTCATTTTTTAAATTGCTTTCAAGTATTTCGCCACAGATAGTTGACCTGATTAATTTCCTGTAAGTGCTTTGTATTTTTACCACTCTTGTGTATATTTGTAGGAAATACAACGTGACCTTCCTGAGTGGGTACTACCGGCCCGAGGTGACAGATGATCACCCGTTTATCTGCTCCACTGAGCGGGAGAACGGGATGCTGCGTTGCTCCGATGTGCCCCGGCGGCGTGTGGCGGGGACTTACTGCTCCCTGAACGCCGATGAGGCCCAACCTGAGATGAGCCTGAGAACAGACCAGCCTGCGCCATGTGTCAACTGGTTTCAGTATTACAACGAGTGTCGCGCCGGGGAACTCAACCCGCACAAGGGAGCTATTAACTTTGACAACATTGGATATGCATGGATTGCCATTTTCCAGGTAAAATTGTGTCTTTTTAAAGTCGGCATTGTGCCGTTTTTCCCATATCTTCATATTTGAATCATTTAACTTATTATAATTATTGGGGATTTGTTATCTTATTTCCTCTCCTGTATATAAATGACAATATTACAAGCATGATGCATCATTTAGTTTCTGTTCAGCCTGTTTTCAGATTATGGGGACAGAAACATTCATTGCAAATGATAATTAGATGCAGACAGCACACACAGCTTTTCTTTGCTGATATACACTATAAGAGAAAAGTTTAGTATTGCTGCTTTAGGGATCTTGCTTATGTGGCGCATTGACATTTGATTTGATGATATTTTAACCAGAAAGTAAAATCACTCACTCTGATCATTTGTAGTCACATCACTCTGGAGGAGTTCTGTATGCGTGTCTATGGCAGAATGTTCAGCATGGTGACACAATGCACACACTGCCAAAACACTGCCAAGTACGTTTTAAGATCGAGTCTGAAAACTGAAAAAAAAAAATTGATTTAACCATCACAAGCACAAAAAAAAACCCCTGTGTCTGTAGTATTATTTGTAGTATTATTTGAGAGGGACTTGTTTGACAGCACAGATGATGTTTCCTGTTGTAGTTCCAGCTAAATCAGTTCTTTCTGGTCAGATCGTGTTAAAATAAACTCAGATTAAAGTCTAACTTGAGTAACAGGGCTTCAGACAGAGTAGTGCCTCAGTTACCATTGCACCCTAGGGTAAGTTGATGCCAAGTCAGCTGCAAAGTATCGCTATCACGTTAGGGGTTTGACCCCTAACTCACTTCAGCATATTTTTGAGGAGACTGACACAACCCATGTTCTTCACAGTCGGTTTGAGTTGATTTCATCAGGCAGATGGTACACGGTCCTAAACTGTAAACTGAACAGATTCAAACATTCTTTTGTGCCATTAGCCGCTAATCTGCTAAACTCAGACAGTGCAGTTAAAAAATAAAAGTAAAAGGCTTAGGGAATGTGCAATCAAAACTGCACATAGGACAAGGGAATGTGCAATCGAAACTGCACATAGGTCAGGGGAATGTGCAATCAAAACTGCACATAGGTCAAGGAAATGTGCAATCAAAACTGCACATAAATCAATGGAATGTGCAATCAAAACTGCACAAAGGACAAGGGAATGTGCAATCAAAACTGCACATAGGTCAAGGGAATGTGCAATCAAAACTGCACATAGGTCAGGGGAATGTGCAATCAAAACTGCACATAAATCAATGGACTGTGCAATCAAAAACTGCACATAGGTCAAGGGAATGTGCAATCAAAACTGCACATAAATCAATGGACTGTGCAATCAAAAACTGCACATAGGTCAAGGGAATGTGCAATCAAAACTGCACATAGGCTGGTGTGCAAGTGTGCAATTATTAATATAATACAAGACTGTGAAGTGTTTGCCTGTACAGAATGACTTAATGTTCCTGTTTGTGTGACACTCGTGGTCATACTTGGTCTCTTATTTATTTATGTTCTATGGTGGATGTTTGTGTGTTGCTTTTGGTGTTGTCCTGTCTTTGTGTTAAAGCTATGACCCCCTAACAAATTTCTCCCATGGGAAACATTCAAGGATTATCTTATCTTAACTTAACTTATAATAATGATGAGTAATTGTTTTTTTTTTCTCTCGCAGGTGATCACGCTGGAGGGCTGGGTGGACATTATGTACTATGTCATGGACGCACATTCTTTCTACAACTTCATTTACTTCTTTTTCCTCATCATAGTAAGTAGAGAGACACACCTACACTTGTATCCAGCTGTGGGGCCTGTGCTCGTGCTGCTCTGGATGTCGCTGATAAGCGATTAATTAATCATGGCAAAAGCGCCCCCTGTGGTGTAAGTCAGGGCTCGTAGCTTTCACACGGAGACGAGATCAGAAACGACAGGTCTCAAAGACATAGCAAGAGAATGATTGCGACTTATGTATAACCAATTGCTGGGTTTCAGATGACATCACAACAGTCTATAGGCCAGCAATATTTAATGGTCCTGTATTATGCATGGACTTTAAGCCATGTTATAAAGTAGTTTTGCTTTTGCTGTTGTGTTTATGTGTTTTGTTTCGTTCACCAATGAGGAATCCTGTATTATTAGTCTGTCTGTATCTCCAAAGCTCAGAATGCTCTGTTCCAGCTTGTGATGTCATGTAGTGGTAGTTGACAGCAGCTACGTTTTACCTTTTGACTGACAGTTCCATGACTGAAATGATCCAAATGATTCTAGTGAGTTTAAAAACACAGTGGAGCACTTCCTGTATGGCCACATGATAACAAAAGGTGGAACAGAATGTTTTTTGTTTGAAAGAAGAAATTATGAATAATTATATTAAATGTGTATGAATGAAACAAAAAACAATCAATTTACGTTTTTGATGAGGAAACTAAATTCTAACATATCCCAAAATAGCTTAATATTAGCCTGATTTATCAGCCGGTTTCAATTTGTGGAAACTGTCTGTTCTCACAGCATTAGGATTCATTTCCTCGACGGTAGGCGAGTACTTTTTTTAATTTAACCAATTGCTGTTATTTGGTCAGCGATCATTGTCGTTTCTGTGAGGTGAACTTGTGAATTAAAGGTGCAATAAAAAAAGCTAATTCTGTATTTGACAAAGGAAATCCAAAGCAGGATAGGGTTAGGGTTATGCAGTCTGCTATCACAACTCATAACTTGGTTCAGCTCTTCGCTGAGTGGCTAGTGCACGGTCTACAACTTCTGGGGTTCTTGCAAACTGTCTAGTATTCTGTCTGCAAAGCTCTGTATTCTGATTCTTGACCTAGTCGCTGGAGAGAAATGAAATTGAGTGGAGGCACTAGGTGGCACCAGCCTGGCTAGCGTAATATGGGCCCTTTAAAACAAATTGGGTAACAAATGGGTATTTATTGATTATTGTTAAATTGCAGATTTTTGTTGTAATACAGAGAGTTCTTGGGTCTAGTCACTAATAAAAATGATCAGGTTCAAGTTTGTGAATTTACCTTTTGGATATTTTATGGCAAAGTGCAGTTTAATCAATAATCTGTAATATCAGGCTTTTGCCCCCTACCTGAGCTATGACATGATCACAACCTAGAGTCCGAAAACCATAGGAGAGGATAATAATAGGATCAAAAGATCAGGTAGTAGTGGTAGCAGTTTTTATTTGGTCATTTTGCAGCACTACAAAAACAAAACAAAACAAAGTATAGACGACAACCCCATGGATCATGACCAAAAGTGTTTAGGCTGAAGTATAAAGTACTTCTAATGCTTAACCCTATTAAACAATGACAGAATTCCAAGAAAGAAAAGCAGTGTATGAACAGCAAGTTTGAGTTTACAATTTCACATGCGACTTACTGTATATGTAAGAGACAAAATAGAAAATAAAACAAACAAAATTTAACGCATTATTAATTTATTTCAGAGCTCTATAGCTTTCAGAACATAATGCTTTATAAACTTTTTTCAAGGCTTCTACAGTGACTTTAAAAAAAATCATAGCTCAGGTTGTTCAATGCTCTAACCCCTCTAACAGAAATAGAATCACTTTTTTTCTTAATTCTTATCTTCATTTTTTTTTTTTAAAGATGTCTCTTCTTCTAAGGTTGTACTGGCTCTCTCTCTGCTCGAAAAACTTAAGCAGGGAGCATTTGATTATAGGCCTTGTGCATCACGATGGCTGTACTCAAGTCAACAAGATCAAAAAAGCTCAAAAGGAGAAATTCAATTTAGCAAAAGGAGAAATTCAGTTTGTCAACTGAACAAAACTTTATTTCCAGTTGACAAATTGTATTTCTCCTTTTACCATGGATTCCACCTGGAAGACTGAGGGATTTTTCACACACACACATCAAAAAACTTAAGTACTTTTAGCTTAACAAAAAGAGGATTTGTTGGTGCATAGTAATCCGCATGGGAAGTCGGGATAACTATGGGGGGAGACAGTGATTTGTAAATATCTATTTTAAACACTGGTGGAGATGGAGAGGCTGAAGAGGGTGATGGTTATGCCGCTGGAGGAGGGTTGTGTTGCGAGAAGCAGAAGGGGAGAGACAGTGTATTTATATGAAACAATACAAATACAAAATTACATAATTCCTTGTTAAATATCTGTGTACAGTGGAACATACAAAATGAGTATCTTTATGATATCGTCCATGAGTAAAACTATTTTAAAAAGCATGTAGCAAAAGATATAAGCACAAAGTATAATCTCCCAGGCAAGGGTTAATTGTTATTTCTACACTTTTGTTATTACTTTTATGGTCCATTCAAGGTTTCCTATCTCTATTTCACTTTCAGAATAATTTATCTTGAAATGTAAAGCTTGACAGTCTGTTTTTGCAAGACTACACAGTTTTTAAAATGGCATAAATGTCTGAAAATAGCCATAGAAACAGCACAAGTATGCTTCTTCTTTCAACCTTGACTCTGTACAACAACATTGCTCTTGCTTCGACTCTTTCAGGTGGGCTCCTTCTTCATGATCAACCTGTGCCTGGTCGTCATAGCAACCCAGTTTTCCGAAACAAAGCAGAGGGAGCATGCCTTAATGAAGTCGGAGCAGCGCGCCCGGCAGCTCCACCAATCGGCTTCCACGTTGGCCAGCGACAGCCAACCGGGGAGCTGCTACGAGGAGATCATCCGCTACCTCGCTCACCTGGGACGGAAGGCATGGCGCCGCCTGTCCCGCTGCCTGGCCTTCGTGAGCGTGCACGTGCAGCGGGTGTGCACGTGTCTGAAGGAGCGAGGGGGTGGGGCCATGAGGAGGGGCGGGGAGATGAACGGACTGGCCCACCGGCACTCGGGCCACGTCCCGAACGACCTGTCGCATCTGCATCAGCTCTATCACCACCGCCACCAGCAGCACAACCAGCCTAACGCGCCTCCCGCCGAGCCCTCCGTCGGTAATGGAGGAAACGGCTACAATTATCCCATCATCTCGCCCCTCTTGAGTCACGCACATGCGAAAGCCCAGGAGCAGAAGAGGCCGGTTACCGCGGAGACTGTCAACAAACTGCCCCAGCTGGTGTTGGAGCACGGTGAGTTTGTTTGCATCTCAATGTCAAAACGCCTCGACCTTGGATTCACAGTGGTGTACAGATTTAAACTCTCCCGTAGTGAAATAAATGACGTGCGGTGCGGTAATTTTTACCTCAAAGCTGCGCTAGTCCTTCAAAAAAAACAAACCCCCTCCTCTAGCCCCCCCACCCTTCCTGCTGCTCTCACAGAAACACAGGCTGTTTTTTTTTTACATGGATATCAAACTTTAATAACAGTTCAATTGAATTTCTTCTTTGATTTTGCTTTAAAATAATACTAGACATCAATCTTTAAATACCACCATTAGTTAGGTACTCCAGACCAAAATGAAGCTCAAAGTACTCACTGCACCAGACAGGTTACTCTCCTAGTAGAATTAAAGCATGGGTCAAACAACTGTTATAACATTCCCTCGTCAAAAACATGCCTGAAGAGGTTTTATTTTCGTCATCCGTGCATGTTAGAGTAAATTTGCGATCTCTCCCTGGCACTATTCGAACCATCCTTACAGTTCGCAGTGTGATGGGTGATGTAGAACTATAGGACTGTACCGCTATTTTACATAAAAATACAAAAGCACGATAGAAAACAATACACTACAACGGGGGAGGACAATTGTTTTTGCCATGGAGCCACATGAAAAACAGAAAATATTGTGAAGGGCCAGGCCAAAATGCAAAATGCTTAACTCAGTTCTGCATAATATTAATTGTATTTCTTTATAAAAAAGCAGTAAATATCATCATTGTTTTGATGCGCTAGTCAGATGGGGAAGAGTTTGTGTTATGACTAAGCAATGAAAAAGTGAGGCTGCTGAACAAAAATGTCATAAAAAACACCTCTAATGTAAAAGCAATGCAACTTTAGTCCATGCATGAGGTAAAATTATAAAAAAAATTGTATTTTGTAATTCCAAATGAGCTTAAACAGGCCGGTCAGAGTCAACCAAAGCACCATATGTGGCCTGGGAGCTGGACAATGCCTGATAACCTGATATGATGTACAGTAGTTTCATTAGCAAAATGTATGTGAATTTTATTGTGATAGTGCTTTGAAGGAGGGGTCACTTAACACAGAGAGCAAAGGGTGGAGAGACTCATCAAAAATGAAACTGAAATTTATAAAACAATGTAATACGTTTTTTTCAGCAAATATAACATTTTCAAAACATTAAAAAAGTAACATCTATATTCTTAACGATGATGAATAACTGTACATCACATACATATTTTTACTACCATTTTGTAATACTTTTCAATTTTCAAGTGCTTTTAGAGTCCTGTCACACCAAACATTTCCACACCTTTAGGAATGACTTGTTTGCATTCTGTGCCAATCAACGCTGAGCACTCAAACCGTTAAGGCTTACCCACTCAACCCCTAAAAAATGGACTCTTCAATTTTGTCGTCAAAGAAGTGAAGAAATTCAGTAACGAAATGTCTCTGCACTTACACTGTGGCAATTTGAAGGTGTGTCAGAGGCTGTGGCTGGAGCTGTCATGCTTCGGGAGTTTATTTTTCACCCAATGTTGATAGGTTAACTTTTTGGATTAAAACAGCTGAAATTGTACGAAGTCTGTTTTGCACATTTGTTAAAGGGTCCATCTCGTGCAAAATAACTCTTTTCACATTGTATCTTCTGCACATATACAAGCACAATTTGGGTTTTGGAACATCCATTACACAATAGTTATGAAATCTTACTGATTTCTTGGAGACAGTCACAGACCAGGAACTATGAAAGGCCGACTATTGCTCATCTCCCCCGCCCGTCCTGAGAAAGCACAGACTCCGTCCTCCAAACGTGACGTAGGCTCTGAGTGAGCCGCCCTTCCTCCACCCATCTCAGGGAGGGAGGGGGAGACAGACGTGCACCCTGATAGTGGTAGAAATAAACTTGTGCGTTCAGCCGCATGTGTTGGACCCGGAATCAGACGAGGACTTTGAGGAGCACGAAGCTCAAGCACCGTGTCAACATCAACTGAATATTACTGATTGGTAAAGTTTTAATAAACACTAGTAGATAAATGTATTATATCGTGTTCACTGCAGTGTAGAACAATGAGCTTATGCTGTCACTTTTGTTTAGGTGTTCATGTGGGAATTGTCGGCCGATGCGGGATGGAGGTGGGGTGGAGGTGGTGGAGAAGCGCTTTCTGCTACGTCAAACGCGTCATAGGTGTAGCTGCCGCGTCATCGTTGTAGCAGCTTTAGTTCATTGTCACGTTGGAGGGTGGCAGAAATACACTGCAATTTGTTTAAAAAATCAATCTAAAAACCACTTCGGCGACATATACAAGGCCCACACATCACTCTTAGAAGGTAGAAAGCTCTGAAAAGTTGATTTTGCATAAGCATACTTTAATAAGTCAAAAAGCTGTGTTTCTGTGGATTTGAAAATTTTGGAGGTTATTGCGAGGGGGACAAGTGCATGTAGTGGGAGCTTTCATGGCAGAGTAGGAGACTTTCTGTTTACTTTGTGCTACAGTGAGATACAGTGGCTTTGTGTATTTACTTGTGAACTCTCAGATCCTCATTTCAAGTTTAGGAGGTCTGTCTGCTTGTTATTTTTACTTTTTTTCAGTGAAATGGAAGCATGATGTTAAAGGGCATTGTGTAAGCAGCTATCCATAAAACATTACTTATGTTGACATAGACTTGTTGTCCGTAACATCTGATTAAAAAGGATTGATTAAGGTACACTCTATTGCCTCCAGTGCATTTGACCCATCCTACAGTGCTGCTGAGGTGACTGGGACCAAAAAATAGCTCTGAACTTTCCCCCCATAAATCGGCCCACGGTGGAAATTGAGCTCTGGACTTTTCCAGAACGCACAAATTGCCAGTCCGCCCCTGCCTGTCAGGAGCAGCTGGCGCCACAGTGCTGCGCCCAGGGACTCATCGAGAGAGTCTCGGTCGGAACTGCCTTTAGCTATTGTGCGTGTTTTGATTGGTGGTTTAGTGGGAGATAATTGTTGTAGAATCAATCGTAGTAGCCCGAGAGTTGAAGAGAAAAGACATGACACTGAAGTTCTAGAAAGTGAGAATGGGACCCAGCGCCCAGAGACATGAAACCTCAACACACTGTGATAGTGTGTTGTGTTAGTGCAATAAATGAGTTACAATATTATTGCTTATAATTTATACTCATCACTTCAAAATTTGTGACAAGGCCCATTGTTATACATCTGATGAACATAGGCCAAGACAACAAGGACTGAGTTGGCAGTGAGTGGCTTGAGTAGAGCACAGTAGGGGTGTCCAAAAATATTGAAAATCGATATATCGTATTGTTTAATTTGATGATACAGTATCAATATCGTGGGCTGCTGTATCGATATTTTGCCAAGAATATTTTTTGCTATATTTTACTAAATTATTTTGTGTAAGAGCTACAATTATGTTCACATTTTCACTGTTTTGATGAGTAAAATTGGTGCATATTACCGTATTTTTCGGACTATAAGGCGCACCGTATTATAAGGTGCAGTATCGATAATGTTGAATTCTCTCGTCTATTTTCAGTTCAATCCATTTTATTTCTATAGCACATTTCACAAACAAACAGTTTCCAAAGTGCTGCACAAATACATAATAATAACAATAATAAAAAGATTAAAATAAACTACTAAAATAATAATACTAGGCTTAAATAATAAAAATAAAATAAAAATGAGCAAATATCAGAATGAATAAATAAAAAATACATTAAAAATAAATAAAAATAAGTACAAATAAATTAAAAACACAGAGGACCACACAACTCACACGGTGTTAAAAGCCAGAGAATAAAAGTGAGTCTTAAGACGAGACTCCACTGTATTATGTATTTTCATACATAAGGTGCACGAGATTATAAGGTGCATTAAGTGAAACAAACGGACGACACTTGAGACTGATCCTTAGCCCAGGCGTCCGTGATCCATTGGCAGATCATGACCTAACTCACCCTGGTTCTTCCCAGTCTTGGTGAATGTGGATTATGAATGTGAATGTGGGTGGATCATTTAAGTTTGTTTTCATACGAGGACGACTCAAATATACATTGAGTAATAATGTGTTTAATGCAACTTTGCCACATTTGTTTACATTTACATTACAGAAACAAAACTTAATACCACATTGCTAATTTGCATAAACTATAAGCGCATTCCATCAAGCGGCGCGGCTTCGTAGTTTACCAAAGTCATACTAAAACATTTTGACAGATTTTTGAGCGCTGTGTACCACATAAAATCATTTCGAGGTCTGAAAACAGAAGGCGCACTGTCGATTTTAACTGTGCCTTAGTCTGAAAAATACGGTAACTTTGCACAAACTTAGTGATCTTAGTAGCCTTTTAGTGTCACAGCCATAATTTTGCCTTTGTTTTTCACTGAACAGTATCATATCAATTTGAAATATATCATACTGAATTGTATTGAATCGAATGTGCACTGTATCGGAAAACATATTGTATCGAGGAATGTAGCGTATCGGCAACTTCTTAATGAAACCCAGCCCTAGAGCACAGTAGTACATTTTCTCTAATATAATATAAATATTGGCATCAATGATAAATACTTTGGTGATGTGGCAAACTTTGTGTCGTAGCAGTGAGACAGATAGAAAGTTTTTTTTAAGCCGAGTCATCTACAATCCAGTGTATAATTATAATTTTGATACTTTTGGTTCATTCAGAATTGTAATAATAAATTGCTAATCGAAACCTTCATATTTCAATTCACAAAGACAATTAGTCTTTGTGAATTGAAATATGAAGGTTTCGATTAGCAATTTATTCTTTTATTTTATTCTATTTATTCTCTTTTTGTGAGAGTTTTGAAATGGCCCCAGTCAGAAAACAGCTATAGAAGCATTCCAGCCTTTCAGATGACACCGCTAAACTTTCTCTTTCAACCTTGGCCCTGTGCGACAACATTGTGCGTTGGACTCAGCACGCCGGTTTAACAGTTTTTACATGTACGTGCCTCTGCTTACATTTTATACTTCTTTTCACCGTAATATTACTTTTCAAAACATTACGACCTTTCCTTATGCTTTCCTTTCTTCTCCTTTGATCTTAAGAGTGACGCTATGTTTTGAAAGCATGGTATTTTTCCTTGTAACCGTAATTGCTTCTGTTTTTCTTGTAGTTAACGGTGCCACTTCCTTTGCATCGCGGCATTTCAGGAGACGCGCCACAGGAAATCTAGGCTGGGTTTACCATTTTCGTCGTCTCATAAATTTGTTGTAATCACAGCGACACTATTACGAGTCGCTGTTATGTCACCGGAGCGTTCCTTCAGGAGCAGCTTACTAATGAACTACCTCTCTCTCTTTATTTCTCTCTCCCTCCGTCTGTCTCCGCACCGCTTCCCCCTAAACTCACACACATACGTCCCTGTTCTAATAAAAGATTTCCCCCCCCTCCCCGTACGGAGCATCCCAACCCCACGGAGCCCTCTGTGTTATTGAATTGTTTTCCCCTCTACCGGAGATGAAATTAATGTTCTGTTCTTGTACAAAGAGAATATATTAAAAACACATCTACATATTCGCGTGTACGACTGAAGGCAGGGTTCCACTAGAGTGCAAATCAATATGGCATGCTTTTAGATACGGTCAATTGTAAAAAAACAAAACAAAAAAAAAGTTACATTATTCACATTATTCATGCACAGAGACATTATTTAAAGTACCCCTCCCCATGTGGTCCTGCCTATACTGCATGTATAAGCAGGCAAAAGAGGAACAAGCAGCTTTGCATTCATATAGTGGACTGACTGTATACAATTGGAATACTAACATTTTTTTTCTTTCTTGGAACAGAGAAGTGATAAGCTGGCTGATTGATGTAACATTTGATATATTTAAGATGGAAAAGCTAAAATTTAAAGAGATAGATTTTATTGTATTTGGAGCAAATGGATTAAGTATGTCACCCCAGTCAGAACAGATTTCTCTTAACTTCTCCATTTTGGTGAAGATTTGTTCTATTTTATTTTACACTACATAACACAATATTTTGAATGTATTTTTGTTCCTGTAGGCTCCCCTGTTCTTGTAAATACCGTATTTTCCGGGCTATTAGTCGCTCTAGATTATAAGGCGCACTGTCATTAAATTGTCTATTTTCTAACCTTTATCACAAATAAACCACACTGGACTTTAAAGGAAACACAACAGTGTGATGGGTGAGTGGTTTTGTTTGTTTGGCGTGTTCACGGTGACTCTGGGCTTTGTTCAGTTGTGGCGTGTAGGGAGGGTGCTGTCTGGGACCAACGGATTGTCGGCGTGTTCACAGTGACTCAGTTGTTCAATTGTGTCTAGAAGTGGCACATTGCACTCGCTTTTTCAGTTCGTTCCTCGTCGCGTGGAGTGATGAGTGTGTCTGTGGGTGTTTTTCGCTGCGTGGTCGCTGTCTGCTCCGTGTGTGTTTGCGTGTTTTGCAGGTGGTGCGGCTTTGTAGTTTACTGAAGTCATGCTGGGACAGTGGATTTGTGTATAGGGCGCTCTGGATTGTGGGGCACGCGGTCATTTTTTGATGGGGTTAGAGGCTTAAGAGTGCACCTAATTGCCCGGAAAATACGGTAGTTTCTTTTTTGTTATATACCAGAAACTGGTATGCCAAACCGTCATTCGAGGAATCTGGGTTTCCAAACTTGTTCTCCTTATGGACTTCTTGGGGCTTCACAAGAATTTTTCACAAACTTGCTTGACCTTCTCTTTTGACATTGATGATGGTACCAGATGCTTTAGCACTGCATGAGCAGCCAAACTCTTTACATTTTTGGTATCAAGTCCAAATTTGTTGGCCAGTTGGTGAAGTTTTTCTAAATTTTGCATTGAAGGCTGCACAATCTTGGGTGAGCGAGCAGATTCCAAGAACCAAAATTACTTCTTTTTGGTAGTGAACAGCATGGTTCAACCTGAAAACACAACAAAAATAAAACAAGATATAAAAAATCTTGATCTTTTTCTATACATTTTTATTTTTTTTATTTTAGGTTATTTCAACAAGAACTGCCAAAATGATTGACCTGTGAAATGATGTCAGTTTTTTTGGGACACTCATTAACACTAATGGTTACTTTAAAACATTTCATCAGTGGATTTCATTTCAATCATAATTATTAATTGCAAACAGAGATCATCACTTTATGCACAATAACTTAGTTTTCTTTTTCATTCATACATATTGCCCTGGATTTTATGTATTTTTAAAATGCCATCATTGTACTTGATCCTTGTCAAGACGAGGCTCTCCCACCAGTAGCTCTCTCACCAAGGGATTTCTAAATTACACTTTCTGTGCTGAATAACTAAAATTTGATTAATTAAATGCCTTCTACCATTGTTCATTTATCATTTTGGTGCTAACTTTGTGCACACATAAATGGATAATGGTTTGTTTATAGGCATCCAACTGTAGCTCATCTAAGGCTTGCCATGGCTCTTTTATATAATACATTTCTTGTGACCGCTAAGACTAGTAGCTCTCTGGCATTTTCGTTTGATAAGGTAGCTCACCGGAGGAAAAAGGTTGGAGACACCCGCCTTAAATGAACTCCTTTCACAGTAATGCTTTGTTCCATAACCTCGGTTCTGAATCTGAGTTTTTAAACAAATAGGTTCCCTTTAAATTGTGGTGACCTGTTTTCATTTCAAACAGTCTTTGAATATTTACAGGTAATAGATTTTCCTCACAATGCAGTGTGAACTATTGTACAACTATTCTTTTCATCCCTGGACATTTTAGCCTGACAGACTAAACTATGACAGACTGCTCAGTGTTGAAATCTGTATCATTTTGATCGGTGAGGTGGTGAAGTTCTTTCTGATGTAGCTGACAACCGTGGCCTTTGCGCACTACAATACAGGCCCTCCCATACCAAACAGCTCTGTAGTACTCATTCTCCATTCTCTCCGTTTGCCTCCTCTACAGGTGGGCTGTCCGGACATCCCGCCTTAGCCCTGCCAGGAGAGATCCCGGGAGACTCCTCCGTGTGTCCCTACTGCTACTACAACAAACTCGAAGACGGCGAGCACGAACACCCGGAAAACACCACCCACGGCAACCCCACCAGCTACCACGGCAGCAGCCCCCCGTGCCACTGCGCCCCTGTCGTCGACCCCGTCCCCGCCGCGCCCAAGCCGAAGAGACGCTTCCTGCTCCCCCGCTGCTGGACCCGGCTGCGCACCAAACTGGAGCTCATCGTGGCCAGCCGCTACTTCAACCGCGGGATCATGATCGCCATCCTCATCAACACATTGTCCATGGGCATCGAGTACCACGAACAGGTAATGCCACGACCAACGCTAGAGTTTGTTTTTTGTCCACAAATGTTTTTATTGAGATTTTACATATTGAAACATAAAATGACATTACACAAAAAGAAAAACCTCCCCCCACCCTAAAACACACAGTTCTCTCAATCTGAATTATGATTTGTGTGTCAAAATTCTTGTCAATGTGCAAAAAGGGCAACCAAATGTCTTTAAAGTCCTCAAGTTTTCCTTTAGATGTGTAGCTCGACTAGCCTGTTTCATCAGCCGGTTTCACTTTGTTTCACTTTGTAGAAACTGTCTGACCTTGCAGTGTTAGAATTTTTTCGCTCGACAGTAGGCAGGTACTCCATCATTTAACCAATCGCTGCTATTTTGTCGTGACGCATGTAATGCACCAAATCCCGAAGGAAGAAGGACAATAACGTCTTTCCACTTGATATAATTCACCAAACATTCTCTTTGTTTGGACTTTAAATCCTCGATCTCGGGAATCGTTGCCAACAGAATGTCTGTCTTCGTCTACATCCGTCTCGACCGCTTTGTTTACTGTTGTGCTGTTCCACTAAAGGGACCCAGACAGGCGCGACGAGTTTGCCATCATGGCTTCACAGATCACAGCTGATTGGTCGGTGTGTGGTCTACAAATTCTGGGGTTCTTGCAAACCGTCTAGTGCACAGGTGTCAAACATAAGGCCCGGGGGCCAGATCCGGCCCTCCAAGACCTTTAATGTGGCCCTTGGGTGATTTTCTACTAAAATATTTTAATTATATTTTCTATTAAAATATTTGTAATTTTCTGTTGCGCTGAGCAGAGCAGCGTCTCCAGCGTCTCTGTACGTGGCCCCTCCCACCAGAGCAGCACAAATGAAGACTTGTCTCTTTATAAACGCTCTTAAAGGACGATCGTTTTGACTGTTGACCGTGACACCCTCATCAACAAAATGTCACAAATGAGATAAGTGGAGCCGAGTGCAGGATTTTCCAAGAAAAACTGACTTATTCCTGTTTGCAGACAAGTTAATGTTAAAACATTGTGTTGAAATTGAATTTTTCTTCAAGTTGCAGGTTGTTCATAATATTATATTATAATAAGAAAGAGTTCATCAATTAAAAAAGATTTCTGTAATAGATTTGCATTTCTCTGCACAAATATTTGAAGTTATTGTTATTTTTGGGGTTTATATGCCATGAGTTTTCTAATCCGGCCCCTTTGGGATCAAAGTAGGTTGGATACGGCCCCCGGACCAAAATGAGTTTGACACCCCTGATCTCGTGTATTCGATTCCTGACCTATTCGTTGGAGAGAAATAAAATTGAGCGGAGGCACTAGGTGGCACCAGCCTGGCTAGCTGTAATTTGCTTTTCCCTAACTTCGGGAAGGAGTGAATCGACTGTCTTCGTGTGTGATTTTTGAAGCTGCTGCGCTCCTCTTGTATGTGGACAGTGTGATGCTGAGCTGCTCCGTCAGATCATAACCACCAAACATCACTAACGCCACAGTAACAGCCAATAAAACAGAGCGTCAGGAGCAGAGGAGTGACGGACACAAACTCAAGAAATAGCGAAAATAACCTCCCGTAAGTTGTAAATTTTAACCTGCACCATCTCATTCACATTATGCATAGAATTTGTCCTCTGCAAATAATGACATCCAGTCCTCAAAACTGCGCTGTTGATCCAGTTTGAAGAGTTTTTTAAAAGTAAAAAGGCGAGAGTAGTTCCTCACGTGTGTCTGTTTACATCCACACAGTACACGAATCGAGGTGAAGCTGCAGATTAGCGATAGTTATTGTACTTCAGTGTACTTTATTTGTGCATTAAAAATATCTGTATCTGAAGTTTTGCACCACATTTCACAAATAACACAGTTTTGACTTGTACCTAAACTAGAAGTGCAGACCTCTGATCACTTAAGAGTCTCAAAGCGAGTCATGTTACTGTAGACAGGAAACAATTCAACTTTATATCCTGTGGTCCGTAGACAAATCCCACTTCAGTCTTTGTGATCTGAGATTTTAAGTCTCATAAGATTCTCCTCGTGTCTGTGGTGTGCACTTTCTATCTCACATTTAAAAATGGTTTAAGACAGAAAAATCCTGTAGTGTGTGGCAGCCTTTAAATGGGCCTTTCAGAGTGAACCAAAGGGTCGTATGTGACCCCGGAGCTGAACAATGCCCAGGTCTGATTTAACTCATTGTGGCTGGCTGCGACTTTAACCAGGGGATCATGATTGTCCACCTCATCAACACACTGTCCACGGGCCTCGAGGACCACAAGCAGGTATCGCCATGGCCAACGCTCGCCTCCGTTCCTGATTGGATGGAGTTTGATTGAAAATGGATGCACTAATCACAGCTAGAAGAAGGAACTGCGCTGTTAGCATGCTGGTGGTAGTTAACATTAAAGTGATGGCAAAACCCCGCTCTTGCCTCTGAACGCTGTGAAAAGTACTTATAAACTCATGGACATACATAATTAGGATGCTTCCAGTACATAAGGTAAGTGCAGAATAATTTTGGACTGCACTGCAAACTGTTTTAAATGCCTACTTCTGTTAAATCAGTAAAAATCAGGTACAGTTAGGGGTGTGCAAAAATATTGAAATATCGCTATATTGTATTGTTTAATTTGATGATACAGTGTCAATATCGTTTGCGGCTGTATCGATATATCACCAAGAGTATTTTATATTACAGCTACAAGTGTGTTGACATTTTCACACAGGGCAGCCGCGGGGTCTTAAAAGTCTTAAAAAGGTCTTAAATTTCATGTTCCTAAATTAAGGCCTTAAAGAGTCTTAAATTATGTTTTCCAAGTCAGATTTTTGTCTCAGAAGGTATTAAATTTAATTAGCCTATTTAGATTAGCCTATATAACAACTTGAAATCACATAATGCGAATGAACGGCTAATTTGGAGTGTGTACAAACAATACTTTGGTTTCTGGCGCCGGCAGAAATGAGTAAACGATCAGTAACATACAGTGGAGGATGACGTTGGATGGATCATGGGGAAGTGTAGGTTTAATCCACAGTGGCTCTTTTGGATTTTCTAGTACCGTAGTTGGTTGGTCATTATTGGATCTTAATTTTCATTTAAGTGGTCTTAAAAAGGGGTAAAAAAAGTCTTAAATTTGGGGTAGTAAAACCTGGGGAGACCCTATCATAGTTTTGATGAGTAAAATGGGCATTTTTCACTTTAACTTTGCACAAACTTACAGTAGTGGACTTGGTAGACTTTTAGCCCCATCTACACTAGTATGTATTTGAGGCGTTTTCGTTAATCCAATGGAAAACGGCTCCAGACAGAACAATTTGGTGCCACCAGTTCCCACAAATTCATCTTAGTACGGATCTGATCTTGCACAGTGTGAACGCCTGAAAATGCTGATACGCTGACGTAGGAGCTCTAGTTGCATCCTTATTGGACCACGCCACCGTGACTTGCGCCTTCCTGATTCTCTGGGTTTGTGACATTGTTTATGTGACGCTATTGCGGAAAATAGTTTAAACAAACCAAAGATAAACGGGAAACAGCGGAGCTAGAAATAGAAAGACTGTTTTCACACTTGCCATCTCCCTCGGCTTGAAATCGTCTGCTGCAACTACAGACATGGTGCTCCACTTCCTTGTTTTTACCACATAACGTTGCGACGACATGACTCCAGCCTAGTCATGTGACTAGCCTTTCAGGCAGTTTTGCGTTACTGTAGATAGGAAAGGCTTTGATTACGGACACAGAAACAACGTGTCTGGACACAGATCATTTCTTATGCAGTGGTACAGAGATTTGTTTCAGTGTAAATGAAACCTTAGTATCACAGTCATGATTTAGCCTTTGTTTTTCACTGAACAGTACTGAATCAGTTTGAAATATATTGAATTGTATTGAATCAAAAGTATATTGTATCAAAAAATGTATCGTATCTTGGCCTATGTATCATGGTATGTATTGTACTAACAACTTGATACCCAGCCGTACAGTGCATTAAGTTTTTATTTTGACCCAGTTTAACTAGTAAATGAAGCCATGTAAATTTTTTTACCTAAATTGAACTGAAAGCTGTGTGCCAAACTGGAGCTCATCGTGACTATGCTCTACTTCAGCAGCAGGATCATGATTGCCATCCTCATTAACACACTGTCTGTGGGCATCGAGTACCGCGAGCAGGTATCGCCCCGGCTAACACTCGCCTCCGTCCAAGATTGAATGGGGCTATAGAGTTTGATTGAAAATGGATGCGCTAATCACGGCCAAGAGTCAATAAAACGAAGGCTCCAATCAACACGTCGCGTGGCAGGCATATGGGATCAGAATGTGTATGTGTGTGTGTGAGAGAGAGAGAGGAGATGGAGAAACTCGTAAGACCTGAAGTGTTAATTAAAGCGTGACCCGGGGACAGGAGAGAGAGGAGAGTGAGAAGAGCGAGGGAAAGAGGGAGGCAGGAGGAGGGCACAGCTGACAGTTGGATTGGACAGACGTTTCAGTATAGACACATCATAAGCATTTTTAAACCATTTCCTAGTACATGAGCTAGGTTTTGGTTGCTTTTACTCAAGTTGGCCAATTTTAAGTCATTATTTAATTGTGATTTTTCAGATAAGTATATCTATGAGATTTTTAGGTTTAGGTTTAACTCAGTGATACTCACTATTTTATTTTCAAGAGCCACACTGAAAGAGCATCATCAAGAGGAGAGCCACTTATACCTAACACACACCAACATACCAAGTCACCTTTGCAAATGTGCATTTCTACAGATAAACTGGATCTTCCACAAAAAAGAAACACAGACAATACATTTTCAATTAAAACCATATTTTCCTTAATACTGGGATGAGCAGAAGCTACGTGCATGTCCTTCACTTTCTTCATAGATAGTACATTTATATTGTAAATTTTCTTAATCGATCATTGGGAAAATTAACAATCGATTTTTGATTAATGATTAACGTTTTTATATGCAAATTATCACCATTATTATTACCATTACTAATCTGTATAAATAGACTC